ATCTAATTCTTTTCACGGACAGTTTATGTTCCATCCCTGAAGTCCTAGCATAGGAATGCCACTGCTCGATAATTTCTTAATGCTGGGGGGTTGTTCGGGGATAGTGTTGCTGCTTTGCGGAGCTCTATCGCTCCTAATTGGTCACTTGCTTCGTTAGTTGCGGCTCTTCACCAGCCAGTTGTTTCCAATTGCGTTGGCTTTGCCTTGCAACCCCATTGTGGCACAATGTGGGTTTAATGCGGCTGCTCGCGAGCCAGTTGCTGGCAGTGGCCTGGCATTGCTTTCCAGCTCTTCGAGCTTTTGCATTACAAGACCAGGTACTCGAAGCAGCACACTACAGTTGAACATCGATTATCCGCACATCGACTATTCGACCATTCGATTATCCGTAACAGTTTTTTTGGGCGCACGTGCCGTAGAGTACGCACTGTGCATGTAGTGAGCCATTCAAAAAATACGAAAATTTTGAAAAGTAAAAAGTAAAAAGGTCGTGCGGCTAGTAATAACCACTGAAAGTGTGTGAGTGACAGTTCTTTCTTATCCGGAACATTTGCCTTATGTGAACACCGCCTGACAGTTGTCTGCCCAGAGGTGGTCGGATAATCGATGTTCAACTGTATCTCCAAAACAATTCCTTGTTGCCTTGGGCTGAGTATGAGTGTGTGAGGGATATGGTGCTAATGTTGCAGTAATGTAGTTAGTGTGTGTTAGCATCCACCGATCACACTGCCATGTTTGCATCTGCCGCGCACCGCTGCATCAGTGCATTGCACTCTGCGCTCACACTGCCAGCGAATAGATTTGGGCACGCTTAGCCTGACGTCACACAACTGCTTCCTTTGAACTTTTGCTCACTGCACTCACTGCCAGTGCATGGATTTGGGCGCGCTTAGCCTGACGTCATACAACTACATTCTTTGAACTTTCTCTTTCTTCCTTGCTGTTGGCTTTACTTCAAAGTCTAATTAGTGGTGACTTTTAGCTTGTGCCAGCATCAAATTTTCACCCTCCATCCCTCCCATCTTATCATCTTGTTAATGGTACTAGGGAACATTTAGCTCTATCGCTCCTAACTGGTCACTTGCTTCGCTAGTTGCAGCTCTTCACGAGCCAGTTTTTGCCAATTGCATTGGCTTTGCCTTGCAACCCCATTGTGGCACAATGTGGGTTTATTGCGGCTCCTCGCGAGCTAGTTGCTGCCAGTGGCCTGGCATTGCTTTCCAGCTCTTCGAGCTTTTGAATTACAAGACCAGTTACTCGAAGCAGCACACTAACTCCAAAACAATTCCTTGTTGCCTTGGGCTGAGTATGAGTGTGTGAGGGATATGGTGCTAACTATTATTAAACTTTTATCTCCACGTAGATATACCGGAGGGGAAAAACAGAAATGGAGGAAAAGCAAAACTCCATTCTATGTGTACTGAGCCCTGTTGTACACAGAATAGCTGCACTACTTAACTATCCCTTATCCAAAACGACAAAAAGTCTCCACAGTACAGTTGGCAGACTGGGCTGGAGCGATGGGGCAACAGGCTTCATGGATGGCTCATTCTGTACTTTGACATGAGTCCAGTAGAATTCCTCCACATCACGGTCCAGGAAAATCGCGGAGTCCTTGACACCCTGGAATCTCTGCTCGCTTGGTGAACAGGCCCTACCGTACGGCTTGGAAAAAAAGAATTTTCATCGCTCGCACCATCACACTTTCTACTGTAGTACCATCGCCGGGCAAGATTATCGAGAAGCTGATATCCTTTGATTTGATACTGGCTAGAGAATGTTCACCAGAACAGCCATCGATGAACTCATCTGGATGTTTTTCTTTTCTTTTCTTGTCAACTGTTGTGTATAGTGTTTGTTGCCGTATTGTCCCTCTCTGTGTTGCCTCTCTCTCATCTATTATACGCATGCTCATTGTAAATAAATCAGTCTTTGTCTTGACCCACAAGGGAGTCCTGCGTGGCACCAAGCGAACAAAACATGGTGGCAGCTGTGGTTCCTACACCTGTAGAATTAGAAAAGAACCCTCCGCCTCTAGCCAGCAGTTTGAGCATCCCCAGCTCCGGGACAGTCTCGTCATCGTCGTCATCGTCATATGTTGTCGTCGTCAGTCTGAAACGTTTGGTAACACTAAATGTGGGCCGAGTCATGCCCGGCATGCACTACGCTATACTTGTTTCGTTCAGCTCGTGAACTCTATTCTTCATCAACAGTCACACCACTGCTCCTTGTCTCTCCTGACCGTCGTCTCTGTCCAGCCAGTTTGTTGTCCCGCATACTCTATCTCTCGGCAGCTCCAATAAGCCTGCTGTTGAGCACTGATCGCCATGTCCCCATGCCGTGTTCAACCGATCCTTATGGGAGAGATAGAGGTGTTACGGTATGGACGTGCCTCGGCCTCGAGCATTCCGGATCGACTCTGACTGGAAGGAACTGTCAGGCGCATGGTTAGCTGTAGCTTATTCTCTCTTTGTGTTTCATTTGTTTTGTTTTGACCTGTTCACTTGTGGTATATGTACATTATCAAGTGTACATCACTGAACACCAGACATGCAGACATTCTCACGCAGTCACATCTTGTTCTCGCTGTCCAACCAGACGTTGTACCACTCTGCGATGGCCTTGTCAAACGTGAGAGTCCTGGACGCGCGTGCTTCTTTATTCACTCTCGATCTCTTCATTTTTTGCCTCGAAATTCTTCATTAATATTATTCAAACAAAAAAATACTCTACAGTTTAGCTGTGCAAATGCTAGGCATGCCCTGCTACTTACGGTATGTTGTGTAGGCCCTAGCTCAACTCTCAATCTCGTTGATTTGCACTACTTAAAGGGGAAGTTAAGGCAAAAATCAAAATTTCACCAGTTGTAGTCTTCGGAGTGCTGAGTCAAATGGTTGTGGTCCGAGGAAGCTGAGACGCTCCCTTCCTACTCTAATCCCAATCGAACTCGCGCACTTCCACCGAAACTGGGTGACTGCGCCCTACGAGATGGGGATTTGTATGCAAAATGGCACTAAAAGCGCCATTTCGTTCTTATAAAAGCACGGATGACCGCGATTGGCCCATATGTTGTAGTCTTTTGGATGCTGAGTCAACTGGTTTTGGTTCGAAAAGGCTGCGATGCAGCGTTCCTCGCTTATTTCCAATCGAACATGGTTGAAGAAGTGGTCACATGCTCCTGCGTACACCAGTCACCTGGTCACCGTGCCTGCAGGGTACAACTTACTAGCCTGGTTGACCTTTTTGGGTGCAGTCCTGTAACTCGAGTTGAACTCGAGTTGAACCTTGGTGTGAAAGTTGTTGCCTGCTAGTTTTTCCTTGTTCTTTTTTCTTTCCGGGAAAAGGACATAATATTGCATACATACGTTCGTTCTCTCTATCCCCCCCCCCTTCTTCCCCAGAAAGAGAGATGTTGTGCATAGTGTTTGTCGCCGTATTGTCTCTCTCCGTATTGTCTCTCTCTCATCTATTACACACATGCTCGTTGTTGATAATCAGTCTTTGTCTTGTCCCTCAAGGGACTCCTGCGGGGCACCAGTCAAACACAACATGAACTATTTGAAAAGATACGAGCGCGGTGACGCGAAACATAGAAATAACCTGGTGTGGCTTAATAAACATGAAATAGGACTCAGAGGACAGAACGTAATACAGTTTTGTAAAGCAAGCAACTACTAGATGTAGGAACCTGTAGGACGCGTCACTCACCTTCATTAGTGAAAGTGGATTGTGAGTAACACAGACTCACGCAGAATCATATCAGGAAAATATTGAATTGTTTCCGTCATAAAATACCCATCAGAAATGATAATAGCAACAAGGACACAAAGAATGAATTTGGGCATGGTCACCACTGGGAAAGGTTTGATAATGAACAGTGCTGTGGGGAGATAATATTCATACATGCATGAACTATGGAGAGAGAGAAAAGAGGTTGAGGAAACGTCAGAAACAAACACAAAGCTGGTACAGCAAAAGCATGATACGTGACAACTGTAAAACATTCCACGTGCACCAAGCAGAACATGTGTGTGTATTATGTACATCTATGAACTCGGATGGAGAGCCAAGGATTATTTATGCAAGGCAAAAAGGACCAAGGAACTACAAGTTACACTATAATGTCCACTAGCACCACCAGTTACTAAACAATCAGCTCATGCGATAACATTGCACGACACTGACCAAACGGCACTGACGTTCTACAACTAACTGGCTAGTAATGTTATCGCATGAGCTGATTGTTTAGTAACTGATGGTGTTAGTGGGCATTATAGGGTAACTTGCAGTTTCTTGGTCCTTTTTACTTTTTATAAATATGTACATGTGCACATAATTGCGGGTGCTGGCAACGGCAGTTTATGGAAGTAGACAAATAATTCACTATCCGAGAGAAGCAAGTACTGGGCCAGTAATTTGTATCAGGAATGCCTTTACAGGAGGTTCAATCCTGCGTTGGCTTTTATTCTCGGGCCCATGTCCCGAATTTTTATCGCTTTGCGTATCCTCCTCCTCCTGGCCCAATGCGACTCAATTGCAAGGACGCGAACCTCCATATATGCTGAGTCACCAATTGGCAGTACCACCCTGCTATGGTGAAGCCAGAAGGGCACATACTTTGGTAATCTCAGACATGGTCTCTTTTGACGCATAACATTTCCTGATTACTAGTAGTAGTACTCTGTTCGGAAACTGAACAAACTGTTAGGTCCCCATCTTCTGCATACTGTTTCTTAGTAAATCCTTTCTCTTGCTGGTCTGCACCCAGTCCACAAAGGTTAATGAGTTCCAGCATAGCAGATGCTTGTGCACCTGTATTGGTCATAGGCACTCAGGCCTTTTATCTAAATTGTAGCTCTCTCCCTTGCTCACTCTCACTCTCACTCTCTCTCTCTCTCTTTTGCCGTGATCAATCATGTAGTCGCTTGTCTCTCTGTCCCTTCCCTTGTTGTTTCCCCAAAACAAAATATCTTCAACGTTCTCACCTCTCCCTACTCCAGGCTCAAGAAACACCATTGCACAAAGCCTGTGAATACGGCAAGCCGGAGGTTATAGAATTTCTGCTTCGAACGGGTTCAGATCTTCTTTCCTTGTCAAATGTAAGTCACACTTTTAGTTTAATTGGCAGCGTGGAAATAACAATCATAATATGCCGATGAATAGAATCAAGTGCGCACTCGTATCATAAACATTGCAAGCAAACATGTTTTAACTTAAAGGGGAACTCCACGGAAAATGAAACTTTCATATCCTGTAGTCTCGGGTACTGACTCGAATGGTCTTCAGGGGCGCCACACACGGTACGACCACTACGACCATGGTCGTACCACTTTTCGTCCAGGATGGTCCACCCAATTCATCCGAAAAAGCAATAAAAAAATTCAAGGATCTTCGGACTTGTACAACACATCGCAACTGTTACTTTCATTGCAAGGAGCATACAGACTTGATGCCTAGCACTAGCAGCTAGCTATTGCCCAAGACTCCAGGCGGCTATCCATTACGATAGGCGGTTGGAGTCACGGTTAGAGAAAACCAGACGATGGATTCCTCACGGACGCATTCACTGCAAACTTGACGGAAACACAGCTGAGCTGGCGGCGATCACTGGGTCCAGAACTAAAATTTTCCAAGATCTACCATGTTACAATGGCGATCAGCACGTCAAGAGACACTACATGTATGTCACTTTTCAGCTACAACATAATAATTATATTCTTTCCACAACGACACCTACCTAGTACCTCTGGCTCCTGACGATCTACTGCAAGCGGATTCGAAAATGCATTACACCCGCGAACGCAGCGCTTGTCAACGGAAAAGGGAAGCGCTTCATTCTCCGAAGCTGAAAAGTGTTTGAACTGCTGCTCCACGGCGGCAGAATATTCTGCAGCTGTTCACCGACACGACCCGCTTCACCTATATTATAACGATTTACGATCGTTTCGTTCCCCGAGTTTTCTGGTAGCAGCAACAAGAATTTCGTCCGCGACGACAGGACGAAAGTCTCGCAAACTAAAGTCCTGTTGCCTCGAAGACAGAGAAGATTCCGCAAGCGCTTTCTTCTGCTTCCATTGTTGTAGCTCTCCGGTCCACTGGCAGATCTTTCAATCCCACCGAACAAAAACAAAGGATCTGCTTCTCTCTCTAAAAACAACTAAAATAATTACTTCGCGACTGTCCAGGCCGGACGTGTACATAGTGTACGCGACGCGGCAGACTTTTGCACGACACGACATACGTTTTTGCATAGCCGCTGGCGCTAGAACGCGCAGCACACTTGTACTTTGGATTTTGCGATTTTTCGAGGGCAATGGCCCTGAATCATTGAATGGGTTCCATTTGCCTTGCTTGGCTACCTACGATGTACAGAAAATACCAAAAATCCATGAGAAGTATGTTTTTGGAGCTGGAGTGGGGTTGTCTAATAAGTGCTAGGGGAACCCTCCTTTGCGGCTGTAGAGTGCTAAAACGTGGCCTGTTAGCCGAAAAATCCTTATTTTTTCTCCGCGGGGACACCCCCGGACCCCCGGTCGGACCACTCTCAGCAACCCTGTGACGCCCCTGGTCTTGGTCCGAAGTCTCTACGGCAAAGCGTTCTTGAGATATTGGCAAAACGGGGGCCGCGCCGTGACGTCATGCGGCCATTTGGCTATGTCATCCCGGCCTGCCTACGTCATTGTGGCACGGTCTGAATCTAGGTGCTTTCTTTTAGAATTAAATTTCAAGGAAAGATGAGCTATTCCGAACAATTTTTTGTACCCAGCAATGGAAGCAGCGATGCTAAAGTCAGTGAAGACCACCATCAACCCACCGCCGCGTATGGTTGGAACAGGGAGCCCAGATACTCTGCTAAGGAGCTGCCATCGTGTGTAACAAATGTTGAGGAAGAAGATGCCTCAGCAGCTGCGTCCGACAGAAGAAGACGAATAGCTTGGCCACCAGACTCTCGATTCGTTTGGGACTCCAACTGGTGCGAGTGTGGACAAAAGTGTATAGCCTTGCCAAGCCCGCGGGAATAATTTTGCTGGTAGGATGCTGCCGTCGCTGTCGAGAAGACGGCCCAAGGTTTCTTGCGTAGCGGACCTCGCAGTTTACGAGATCGTAACCTTGCATTAGGCTGTACCCACCACTGCTCTTCGAAGTTATCTCGACATGCAGAAGCCGCCAATGCCAGTGACAGAAGAGTCTGAAATTAGGTAAGCCTCAATTAGTTTGTCTTGACTTGTCTTGTGAGGATCGCGCATCAATATGATACGATAATTTTTTTTGGAGAAATTTATTGTTGTCAGGTGCACTACAGTAGGCGTCGCACAAGAACAAAATGTACTAGTAGTTATAACAAATTTCATGCTTGACACAAACAAATTCTCTTTGCTCCGAGTATGTCCTGACTTGCCTTGTGAGGATCGATGCGCGTAATGTTTTGCGTGCAACTTACTTATTGTTGTCAGGCATGGCACGAAAAACGTTGTACTATAGTGCTAGTAGTTATCACATGTTTTCATGCGTGACTCAAACACATCAATTTTGTGTTTCATTATCCCTGGGATTGGTTCAAGATCTGCAAAGTATGGTAGTGTTCTGATGGTGAAGAGAGCACTGCACACAGTTTATGAGCACGATGCGTGCATTTGATCACACCCGAACCCATACTGTATCGTTTCACGCGATAGGCTTTGTCAATACACCCGTTCTCTAGTAAACCATGTCATGCAACGTACAAGCGTGGGGTCAAGAAAGCGTACACCCAAATAATGCACAAATTCTGGCAGGATAGTAAGACATCAGATTCTGTACTTTCTGACCAAGACATCTCTGTACTATAAGGGAATTGAATGTGTCCTAATCAGAATTCATCAGTCATTGGAAATTCTACTAGAACCTCCATCTTTGTCCCAGCGAACACTAAATAGTTATGGCGCGCGCACTGAACGTGCAGGTAGGTACAGGTAGGTGTAATTCAGCGCATATGTAGAGTAAATGAGTATTTGACTATAGTATAGTCTGGCTGGGCGTGGACGTCCAAGGACATCCATTGCGACGCGCATCACAAGCGACTTACAGAGGAGGAACATCGACTTGAAGCGCAGCAGTCAGCTGGGGAATGTGAGGGCCATCGCTCTGGACAAGCTTACATGGAGAAATCTGGCCGACAATCCATGATCTGGCGTCACAGGTCATCAGTGCGCCGTGTTAATAATTACCTTGATACTGGAATTTGATCATAGGAGATAGGACAGAAGCGGAACGTATAATTATACCCACATAATTATATTATTACGCGTGCTGTGGTATTATTATTATTATTATTATTATTATAGTCACTATACCATACCATAATAATTATTACGGTTCAGCAATGTGGTATGTGTACAAGCACTCAGCATAAACGCTCCGTATGGCATTCTATGTTTCTGTAGATCTCTACGCTATGCAGCACACAGGCAGTACACACTGTATGTACACGGCAAATGGGGCAAGCACGTTTGTTGTCGTCTTCCAGCCTGCGTTGTGAAAACCATCATGCAAAGATATCCAATTCCTGCACCACCTCAGCCTTCTAAGGAGACTTCCACCCGGGATTAGGCAGGGAACGCGCTTCTCCAAGACAGGAACATCGAGGTTGCCATCTGCAACCACTACCACCTCACACATGAGCTTGTCACCAATCTCATAACTTTCTGTCGTATAATTATCTATTTGGCCACATAGTCTTCTTTATGCTGTGAGAACTGGACTTCATACCTTCCTATCGGGGTATTTTTGGTTGTGCTGTGGCGACGGTTGACATTGATGTCGTCAAGAGCTGCGAGATGTGCGTGTCCACTCATCCCCAGAATTGAGAAACGAGTGAGTTTCAGAATGTATTTTGGCATGGCACTGTGATATACCTGCATGGCGAAAAGAATGTAGAGAAAACACACTTGCTTAGACAAAACAGTAAGATCGGGCGTCGAAGAACACCTCGCCGAAGAACACCCAGGCTGGAAAACGGGCAAAATTTAAGAACAGTCCAGGCTAGAATTATCAGATTTAAGAACACGTTTAAAATAGATCCACATTGTACATGTATGGGAGGTGAGTACATGTCATGTACACGTGTAAACAGTAACTGCTACATGTACAGTCATTCCCATTTACGACACCCACTAGTTTAGAAGTACTACATTGCACTACATGTACATGGCTAACGTCATGACGTCACTCGACTCGCCGCGCGCGTGTGAATAAGAACGGTCTGGCTAGAATCAAAAAATTAAGAACGTTCCTAGGCTGCACTCGAGCCCCTGCGTTCTTCGGCGCCCGATCTTACTGTATAATTCTATATGTGTTACAAAACCACCAGTTCTCAAGAGGGAAAGGCCTTCTGGCTTATGACATTGTATTCGTTGCGATGTTGTATCTCGACTCCGTCGTACTGCTGATGTTTGCTGCATGGCGTTCGCTATTTGCGCTGTGTGAGTTTTGCTGTATTCGCTGTCATGTCATGTTTTACATGCATATGCTTTGATTATACATGTACGCTGTTTTTGCATGCTATAAATAGCTGGTGTTATTAGTGTTAGTTTGATTCAATGGAAGTCAAAACATACTGTTGAGAATAAATACTTTTCCTCGTGCCGTGTGGTCGTTCGTTTCTGATACTAACGAGAACCAGAGGGTTCATTACAGTTTGCGACCACGCCAGGATACGGAGCGAGCATGGCAGAGCAACTACATAATTTGGAAGCCAGCTTTATCGCCAATGGAGTTCGGTTAGGATTGGAAGGCGATGAGTTGAGGGAACATTTGGAGCAGAGGCTCCGACAGTATGAGGAGCGTGAGGAGCGCAGTGCCAGACGGCGAGAGGAGGCGCTCTGCTCCGAGTTTGAAAAAAAAGCTCAAGGAGATTAAGAGCGCATCGCCAAGGCGTATCAGGGTGAGGGCAGAGTCGCCAGTGAGAGTGAGATGGGAGGTACAGCGGTAGCTCCCAGTCACAGCGGTGGGCGTAAGCCGTTGATGAAAATCATCTCATATGATGGAACGCAGTCAGGAGCGTTATCTTGACCTGTTCGAGGACATCTGTTCCAAGAACGGGTTCGAAGAAAGCAAATGG